AGCAAAGGGTTGTGAATCAGTTGTGGGATCACCCAAAAGGAACACCAGATAGTGGAGTTAAAAACTAATCTGCATTAGACCTCTTGCACTGTGAAGTGCTCGAATTCCCAAATTGGCCAAAAATCACAATTCTTTGTTTGGAAAGATCACAAAACTTTAGAATGTGATTAGGCAAAGAAAATCACTCAAAATACCTCAAAATTGGCTTTAAATTTGAACGGGAAGCATTCATGAAAAAGGCATCTTACACTGACCAACAGTCTTGCTGTTCTCCAAAACTTTCCCAGAACTGATCAGTTTTAGTTCACTTGGTTCCTTAGGCACAATATTTTTACCTGAAGTTAAACAAAACAAAAAAACACATTTGATTCATTAAACCAAGAATATCAACCACATTCATTACCGACAAACCATAGCAACAATACGACAATTTTATTAAACCACAAACAACAATCATTTAACTACATATATCACAAAATTCAACTAAATTTTACTTAAATTCTCAATAAACGTCAAATTAACTAATACAATTTCAACAAAAATTACACCTTAAATACTATCAATTTCACAAAAAAGTAGTGCAATTTTTACCCAATTTCATATCAATTTAAACTCATATTCACCCAATTTGAACTAAATTTCACCACAAATGCACTAAATTTCACACAAAACTTTTCAATTTCACAAAAAATTACAATAATAATAAACTGTATAAAATTTAAAAAAAACACCTTGAGAAGAAGAGGAGGTCCGGTGGGGGAAGATGGTGGTCGAGACACTCGTAGCGGCGAGGGGTGGAGACCCTGGCGGCGGTGGCGAGGAGGGAGGGAGATCTGTGTTGGTGTTTATTAATTTATTGTTTTTAATTAGTTTTTACGGAGTAGTTTATAAGTTTAAAAAAATAGTATAGATAAAATGACTTAAATAATATATACTCCCTCCGTCCCTAAATAGATTACAATCTTTTTTTTTCTCTCTTCTCGATAACTTTTGTTTGTTTACACGATTTCATCAAGTATTTGATAAAATAAAATATTCTTGTCACCTCTTAATTCGTAGAATTTTTGACGTAGTTTTTTAATATGTAATTTTTATAATTTATTGATATACCAATTTGTAAATAAAATGATTTCAAAAAGTAAGAAATTTTACTCAGTAACCCGCAATTTGTAATCAAATTGGGGACAGAGGGAGTAAGTCATTTGGAGATATTCATAATATGCGAGTGATAGTTTTGTAAGTAATTTGCTCAAAATGGAGAAATGAACAAACTGACTTTAAAAAAGTAGGTAAGACCTACTTATTTTTCTAGTTTATAAGCAACTTAAAAGCACATAGAAACACATCATCTACTAACTTATAAGTTAAAAACATCTTATAAACAGTTTTGAACGCCTACTTAGTACTACCTCCGTCCCGCTATATTCGTCCACTTTTGACTTTTGGAACTGTTCATCTAATTAAGCACTTTGACTCATTAAATTCTCTCAATGTGTAAGCCTAAATATAGTTATGCGTGATCTTGTTTGATTTGTCTTAACATATAGATTATTAATATATAATTTCTATAATTTTTTAATATACAAATTACAAGATAAAATGGATTAAAGAAGCGTATTGGATGGTGTGCAAAAATGAAAGTGGACAAATATAGTGGGACGGAGGGAGTATTTAAAAACTCCATTTTACTTCCACAATGTCATTTATCACCTATATTTTTTGGCAAAATGGGACACTCTCAATGATTTTAAAAGAGTAAATTCCCAAAATAGTCCTTTGTAATAAGGGCTTTTCCCAAATTAGTCCTCAATAAGTTTTAATTACCTACATGGTCTTCTATAATTGAGATTTATTCCCAAAATAGTCCTTTGTAATAAGGTGTTTTCCCAAATTAGTCCTCAATAAGTTTTAATTACATATATGGTCCTCTATAATTGAGATTTATTCCCAAGATGGTCCTTTATAAATAATGTTACTCAAATGAGGATTAATTGAGGATATTTTTTTCTCTGCTAAATTTAGAATTAATTCTTAAAATAATCATTTATAATGAAGTGCTTTCCCAAATTCGTTTTTCTAATTATAGATGTGTATTTGATTTGAAA